ACAGGCGGATAGAAATGCAGGGCAATTGAATTGCTCACTATTGTCTAATGCATTAATCACCTCTTTACTCCTTACATTTTGCAACTGAATCTCTGAACGAAATGGCGTCTTTCACATGCTAGACATTCATTTCCTAGTCAGTCCCAACAGTACTCAGTAAAGATTACAATAAGTCATTTCCTAGAGTATGAGCCACTCCAGTGGTAAAACAAGTGAGATTTAAAGCCATGATAAACACCACATTTATAGTTCAAGCAGATCTATAAACATGTTAATTAAATTTAAAGTGCCATTGTTCTTGGAAAAGTTTTTTTTCTGAAGATAATGCTTGTGGGATTATCTGTGACATGTCTTATATATTGCAAAAGACTTTATTGTGATACATCTTTTATTCTGTCAAATCACTGGTAGCTCTCATCCAGAATCCTTTGGCTTACTAAAGCACGGGGAGCATTTGTAGCACTGTGTACAGATTTAAAGGAAAATGGGTTTGCTAGACCATTTTTGGTTTATAATAGATTTATAAATGCAATTATAAATTAATGACAGTTTATTCAAAAAGATTCTTTATCTTCACACATGGAGGAAAATAAACCCCCAAGTTATCATCAATATCATCTCCCTGAAGAACAGCTCAGCCTGTGTTAACAGCATCTGTGTTGGTCTTTGAAATTTACACTGCATTCATCAACAACTTAAACCTGATGTCTCAATTTCTTAAACCTAAGCTCGAACAGGTAATATCTTATTTTAAAATATTTTTCTTCCATCATATCCTCTTGGTACGGGTCAGGCAAAGTATGTCTCAGTTATCATAGAATCATATGGTACCAGAAGAAGCCCTTTGGCGCACTGAACCTATACCACCAAAAACAATACTACTGCCTACAGTAATCCCACTTTTCCTTACTAGGCCCATAGCCTTGAATGCAGCTGGATTTTGGTTTCAACACAAGGTTTGGTATTTGATTGAAGAAGTGCAATTATGCATTCACTGAAACCGAATCTTCACTGGTCCCAAATTACATGGGCTGTGGCAAGAAATTTGAAAGAGTTATATGAGAATTCGAGCGAGGACTTCCTAAATTTTCAGAGTAACAAGTTGCATTTTCTAACTAAGTTCCTGTTCAAGATGAGATTCTCGCTATTAACAGGGATTATCACTCATTATCACCCTTATTATTATTCAATCTTACCTCATTAATAAACACTCTCCTATTCTACCACTCACTGGATAAAAAACTAGATGCTGTGAATTCTCGATATGAAAGACAGAGCAGGAACCTGGTAACTCCAGCTCACCATTTGCTCCTCCAGACCAACACGCTGGAAACCTGCCACTGTCTTTTCAGGGCACACTCCACAGCCAGAGGCTGCATGTAGCCCCTGTGCCCACAAACACAGGCATTCAACACAAATCAGCTTCTCTGCACCATCATGTCCACCTCTCCAATTCATTTCTGCACTCGAATACTGCACTTTGGACCACTCTGACAATTATCATTGGAATACTGCTGCAAGGACACTTTATTTACAGAGCAGTTACATGCAAAGAAAGGTACCCAGCCCACGGTTCTCGCCACATTTTAGGGTTAGGAATGCTCTCTTGCTTCCTTAGTGCTCAGTCACTTAGCACGTATCTGGCCCCCTCAGTCAGAGCTCACTGTACTCCTGTCCTAACTCGCTTTTAAGCACAGACACAAAGCTAGGAATCTTGTCACAGTCATCAGCAGTCATCAGTCAAGGGGTTGACATTTTGCTGTAAGGTTCCTTACTTTGTCAATCTCACACCCTTAGCACGTACCAGCAGCCTGTGTGGCAAACACATTTCAAGTGCTTCAAGCAAAATTTTGTGTCTCAAAGTCTAAGGGTAGTAGTCTTCAGTCAAGTCAATGAAGACACCTCTGCTCAGAGGGACCAGCACAGTAAGTCAAGGGCAGCCTCCAATATCAGTTCAGGGGCTTAGGCACGGTCATTTGGTTGCTTGGGTAGTCAAGTCAAAACCCTGGCCTCATAATGGTAAGGAGCCAAATGTCAGAAATCCCACCATTCATCTTGGCTCTTCCTGTCCTATTGTGGGGTGGTTTCTCCTGCAATGAGAGAAAGGGACAGACTGAGTGAGATAAAAGTGGGTGGTGCAGCAGTTAGCATTAGTGTAGACAGTGAGGTGCCCAGAGTGAGTGTGCAGGCAGCATGGCGGCCATGCAGGGTTAGTGATTTGGGGGAATTGGGGGTGAGGTAAGAGAGATCTAGGGAATATTGCATGCAACAGTGAAAGTGGCAGAGTATGATCTTTGGTGGGAGGTGTGTGAAGTAACAGAGATAGAGTGAGTGTGAGATAGCAGAAAGAAAATGGTGACAATTATGCAGGTAGAGCAGAGGTCACTGATTTTCTTTTTATATTTCTGGGCAGTGCTCCAGATGGGTGACACCCTTCTCATGGACACTTCTGTTGGTCCTGTGGATGTCACCCCTCTGCACCACACCTTCCATCAGGGCCTCCAAGTCCCAGTCCACAAATCAAGATCTCAATTTCCCTTTATCTGCCACGTTCAGGACAAATATCACA